CCCAAACCGTGACCCCGCCCCTCACGGATTTCATCTCTGGCAGGTCGGCAAGTGGAGTCCGTCCGGAGGTCTCAACATCACAGAAGTGCCCAAGCGAAAAGGGGTGAACATCACGGATTCGCTGGCCAACCGCTCGCTTGTCATCACCACCATCCTTGTAAGTCGTTTGCTCTTTTTTTTCCCCATGGTGTTTCGCTGTCTTATTCGAGCCAACGGGTCATCAACGTCCCACGGAAGACCAACCGAGATCACGTGAACGGCAGCCTCGGTCGCAACGCGGGCCGAGCCGCGGCTAGCTCCGTTAGCTTGGCGAGCCGACACGCGTTACCTTCTCGCGCATCTCGAGGATCCAAATGAATGGTCGAGATCGGCGATCGCCTGTAACGTTAGAGGAGAGGCCGCGAGTCTCGTTGGCTTTTTGAATTTTTTTTTTTCCTCTTTCGTGAATGCTATTGAACCTCGGTGATGCTTTGCTTTCGGGTTTGATCGAGAAAAATGAATCAAGTGCTCGACCAACAAAATAAGCAAAATAGGCCCTTGCAGTCGTTCGGACCTGACCGAGACGAGCAGAGAGAGTGAGTCAGGGAACTCTCTTCAAGAATCCAGAATAAGCTGTTCTTGCGGGGAAAAAGAACATGGCGATCCTTTCCCCCGCCTTCGCTTTTTGGCAACCTTTTCAGCACCAACGTGAGCGGATGGTCAAGCTGAAATGGAGCTCCTGGGGGACACACACGTTCCCAGCGACCCTCTTGAGGACGCCCTCGACGGAAAAAGGCCCGGCGGCCGCAATGGGGAAACGGCAAACGTCCTTGAAATGGCTCAAAGTTGCTTGGCGATGAAGCTGCTGACGCCTCTGCCAAAATTTTGCATCTGACCAACAAGTCGTGACTTGATGCTCATAAAGTCTAAAGATTTCATATCGGACTTCCCCTCTTTGCGGATAGAATTCATAATAGTACAAGAAAACAAACAACATTCACCCCCCCCCCACCCCACCCATTTTAACGAGCATGAGAATAACAATAAGCACCACCGGACTGAAAAAAAAAACGTGGCAAATTAGCCAAATCACAAGAGAAAAAAACTGAACATGTCA